GTATTTTATGTATTTTTATGGTATTTTTGAGGTCTTCGGACTCTTCCAGTTTGTGTGAGCGAGCTCAGGTCCTTGCTCTTGGCCAAGCTGCCCATGGAGGAGTTGGAGCTTTGGGTGGCCACTGTGCCACTTGGTTGGTAAAGAGGCGTGTTTGGCAAAATGAACACGGACTACCACTTGCTCTTGTAAGGATCTCCTTGTCACACGGGACACAAACCCCTGCAGCACGGTTCGCTCTCTGTTCGCTCTTTTTGATACGCTCTCTGTCTGGAAGTCCAGCACCGTCTCGGGGTCAAACCCGTGCTGATCCGAGTTTCACGGTGTGAGGCATTTGGAATCCGACTCCCAGGACCTTCGCCGAGAGCAGCTCAGGCGAGGAGGGGCGAGCCCCGGCTCCGATGCCTCGGTCCGGACAGAGGCGCAGCTTTGCACGTCGTTTGGAATTCAAAGTAAAGGGTTCCTTCAAATTCACCGGCTGGGCATGCCAAAGAGAAGGGATTCACACGCTATTTTAGGGGAAAACAATGAACTTTGCTTCGAATCTCTTCCCTGGCACAACTGAGCCCTGGTCCAGGTGCATCGTTGAAGTCCTGGACGGAGCAAGCCATGTGATCTTGGCTGGAGATATGACACTCAGCTGTGATCAGACCTGGACAACTGGCAGTCTATGGCATTCTGTCACAGAATGCGTGTGCCAACGGTCTTCTCATTCACTTTCTTTGACTGCTCTTTCACATCGATTTTTTTTCTCCGTTCTGAGCCTACTTTCAGCAGGCAACGACGGATCAGAGACACCCCACGACGGATCAGGAACTTCGGGGACTTCGCCGTGGAGGAGGTGGAGCTGCGACAGGTGGAGCGAATCGCAGAGTTGGACGAAGAGAGGGGTGAGTTTGGGGAGGGAAACTCATGGGATCACCAGGAGCGACCTACTCGTATATAGCCTCCGTTCGATCGGGTCTCGCTCCGTCTCCGTTCGCGATGCCCTTCGTTAGATCTTCGGTTACGTCCTCTTGTTCCTAGTAGTAAGGCCAGGAGCTACGTTCGTAGCGTCCTTGCTCATGGGGTCTTGCATTCTTGAAACTCAAGGGTGTGAACTTGACAGCACGAGTCAACCAACAAATAGCCTACGCAGTGTCCCGCTTATACACAGAGGCAGTAAACTTGAAACGGTCAGAAGAAGATGACGTCGACATGTTATGAAGAGGTTTTCGCAGAAATAGCCGAGCACATATCATTCACTTCACAATGCTCAGCCAGTTTGTCAAGGAGTCTGCTGGACAGAAAAAAAGACACAACCAAACTCCAGGGGATGAGGCACCGTTTGCGTGGACCACTGCTGGACCTGCCCAGTCCCTACCGCTTCTTCCCCCAGTCCCTACCTGGCTAGGCTGGTTACCACGACTGCACCGCACAGTCTGGACGTGCCTCGGTCTGAGACGACCCCGGTGGTCGGAGTGTCCCGACGTCGGTGGTCGGAGCGGTGACCTGAAGCGACTTCGGATGAGATGGAGCGAAGGATGATTGGAGGTAGTATGAGAATGTATGCTGGAGGTAGTGAGAGGGATCGGGTTTTCTCACTGTTTCTCATGCTGGATGGGTGCACAGGTGGGAACAGGTTCGTGCACAGCTCTGCATGGCCGAAATGCCTCAAAGTTATCCCAAAAGGTGAGTCACCATCATTGCCCATGCAGTTCTGCTAATACTTTGGAGTTAAACCACAACCCATCTGACCAGAACAAGCACTGCAATGCCCTGCGGCGTGATGTCGCCACCTGAAATTCTTGGGTCGCGGCCCAGTGATGCCACGCTCTCGGTAAAGTGATGCCCTACCTCCAACCCGTAGCTGCGGTCCTCTCCGCAGCCCCGCGGGCACGGGCACCGACGACGGCCCCAGATACCATGCCACGCTCTGACTTCGGGCACCGCGCCGAGCGGCTGGATCGGATCTATAGCAAGGAGGTCACAGGCAGTCGGGTCATCGCATTGCGGGATCGGTCCAGGTCGTTGGAAGGTTTTAGAGACAAAAGCTTTTTTGGGTTTTGAGGTTCACTTCTTTTTTGATGTTCACCCTATTTTTTGCTTTTGGATCTTTGGGTCAATTCACCCAGACACCACAGAGTTTGTGCATGTTTCCACTGTCCTGCAGGGGGGTCACGAGTCGTCTGCTTTGTGGACTTAATCCGAGTGGGATGCGACAAGGCATGAAATGCGGAGATTTTTGGTATGTAATCTCGAGCTTGTCAAACATGTTTTCTGTTGTAATGCAATGGTGATGAATTCAATGATCGTACTGTTGTAGTTTTGCTCGCGGGGTAACAACAGCGCGAGTAGTTGTGCACTTTTTTGGCAAGTCACACATATTCGTTTCCATGTGGCAACATTCCTCATCAAAGTTGGCACCTACTCATTTGCACTGTAAAATGCCGGATGTTGTGCCATATCAAAAAAACTATCAGTATCCCCTTGGGCTTTGTTGCATCCTTCTCGATTTCTGCTCATTTTGACCGCAATTCCATGTCGTTTCAGCAAACGGTTGCTTCGGAATTTGTGTGACTGTGCTCATAACGCTCAATATGAGCAACCGACGCATCGCTTCGTGCCTCACAAAATCCGACACATTGCTGCGCATCTTACGCACATCCAACACCATGCTTTACAGGTAAGTCAAGAGTGCGTGCGTGTAAGACTGTGTAAGATGCACACGTCTTCCTGGGACGTAAGACCTCAGTTGTTCAAGTGCTTGCCACGATATTGTTGGAGGTGGGACCGCACCAGTCAAGATTTGTTGTGGCAACACTGATGGACCAGGCACGATGACAAATGTGGATCAGACCTCCCCATGTTTGTAGGTCAGACCTCCAAGCTGTGGATCAGATCCATCGGCCGATCCCCAGGCGCTGCGACTCGCTTCGTGCCCTCGAAGCCTGAGCTGTTGGGTACGGAAGCCTGCGACCTTCCTTCGCCGCATGGCACTCGAGTCCGCAGCGGCTTGTCCAGAGGAGGGGATGCCACAAGCTGTGGAGAAGGTGCAGTGTAAGTGTAACAGACAAGTCAGACAAGTCAGACAAGTGCATATTTTTTGGGGACTTTTGGCTTGGTAGATCTCAAAATTGGAGGAGTCTCCAACTGGGATTTATCTACGGCACATTTCTTTTTCCGTAGTGCTCTTTGTTGCCAATATTGAATATTGTCAATATGTATAATTGTGTATATGAATCATATTATGATAATGCTGCTTTTGGCAATGCCACTCATCAGGCACTTGATAGGGGTGCTTGTGCGAATGTGAACCAAGCCTGCATCAAGTGCTTCCTAGAAACTGCTCAACGCAACCGCTCCATCGATCCAACCCAAGAAATTATTTTGGGTGTTGCGCAGGATTCCATGCTGAAGATAGTGATGACACCGATCCGGAGATGCCGCCTTTCTGCATGGAAGAGCAGCCAGTTGACACAAAATACGATAGAAGCAAAATAGAAACTGGTAGAAGACCCCCCGGTCGACGTCCTCATGATCTGCTTGTTCTTGAACTGTCGCGTCGTTTTCGGTCAAAACCATCTCTAGGCGCCATCAGGGGCTGCATGTGGCTCGCACACCAGCGTTGTGGCTTTCTGGCTGATCCAAGGCCGTCGTTGATCCCCGTGGAGTTTGGGGAGATCCCCCAGCCCTTGAGTCTTTGCCCTTCAGAGCCTTGGCAGGATGAAGTGGAGTTCAGAGCGGGGTTGGGGAACGGAGTAGATCGATGGAAACGCGGAACGGCAACTTGGAGATTCTTGAAGCCCCTGACATGGTTCTGGAGCGTCGTTTTGAGGGACTGTGGGGGTTAGGTCCTTTCTGGGCCTAAAGAATCTTAACAATCGGACCGAATCGGACCATCCAGTCATCAACCCTGCATTTTCCTTGATTTGGCGGACGGACGCGCCCTCACATCCCTCGCCTTGACCGACCGAAGGCCCCAACTGTGGGGGCCCCCAACTGTGGGGGCCCCTTGACATCCCCGAGGATCACTACGGAATCATGTGCGACCTGGAGTTGGTGAAACGGAAGGCTCGCAGATGCTCCCTCCGTCGGTCTTGGACGGAAAGCGGTCGTACCCAGGCGGGAGGCTCCCCAGGTCCTGTGGTCCTGTGCCCTTCAGGGTCCGTTTGGGTGTTAGCATGTACTTCAAGATGTGGTGGATGGTCCGGTCTGAAGTTGGGATCAGGAGATTCGTTCTTCCCCAACCTGTTGGGGTTCTCAATGCTTTTAAGTGTGCCTCAGTCTGGGCTAGTGCTTCCGCCTTCTGGCAACTCCTTGGTAGCAGTTCTTTACATTTATATATATATATAATATATAAATATATCTCTAAGTCTGGGCTAGTGTGTCCGCCTTTGACAACTCCTGAGGGCCATTCTTTACATGTGTCTCACAGTCTGGCCTGTGTGCCTGCTTTCTGGCAAGTGCTTAGAAGCAAACGTGACATTGTTCTCCCAGTGTCCGCCTTCTGGCAAATACTCAATAGCTATTCTTTTGTTTGGGGTCTACGGTGGTGTACTTTGTTCTTTAAATAGTGAGTAGCTTCTATGGTGGAATCGCTTCTACGCCTTGATGGTGGATTGGATCAGCCTGTCAATGATTGCATCGTAGGGTTCTCAAACGAATGGCACCAGGGAGACTATCAGAAAAGCTTCATTGGGCTTTGCACAGCGTGGAGGGCTGCTGTTTTTGGTCAATTCAACTCTTCGGCACAGGCGATGCAACGAAGCCTGCAACCGCTAAATGGGCAAAAAGAGCGCTCCCAAACATGAAACAACCCAAGCCTTGCACAGCCTTGGGGATCAAACTCAACCCAGCCATTTTTTTTTACAGGCCACCTTTCTTGAGGCTCTTGGAAGATTTGGATTTACATGGAGCTGGAAATAGGATTTGCGTGCATAGGCCTTTGCGATTTTGGGCAGAAAACAATGCAATGTATACCTATATTGACCTCAATCAACAGCATGACAAACTCCACCTAGGCCCAAGGTTGAGGAGGTGACGCTCTTTCGCTATGAGGCTCGGAGAACTCCCCAAAAATCGAATGGCTCGGGTTGAGTGCAGGGTTTTGCGAGAACAGATGATTTGATCCTTTAACTATCCAATTCACCTGTTCTAGGCCGCCAGTTCCATCACTTCCATCAGTTCTATCCTGTCCTGAACATTTCTCTTGTTCTGAATTGCTGCCAAGTGAGCCGACAACAACCTGATGTAGCATAATTTTACCGATCTCTGGAGAATGTGCTTTGTGTGTCGAGTGTCTGAGGGTATACTCAGACAATCCACTTGCTACAATAAATGACAGCTAACCATTCGCATGGCTTTTAGGTGCAAAGCTTTTAGCGTGGAGGGCTCTACTTCAGGCGAAGTTGTAGCTTTAGGGCTCTGCCCCTGACTGGTGGAGGGTTTGCTATCACACATAAAGGCATAAACCGCTTGGAGTTTCCCCATCAAGGTAGGGCTGGTAGGGTCACTGTTGATGATGCTTTCTAAAGACGACTAAAGACAGCTTGTGTCAAAGGGGGCAGCTTTCACTGGTCAGGGTGAGCAATGGTTCCATGATACATCCTCATGAGTTCGACTACTCTCCCCAATTTTTGGCCGGACAACACTGGTCGCATCCAGGACCTATTTGACTGGACTGTCTTTGGTGTGACGTTTGTGGTGACTTGGAGACAATTTACTGTACTAGATAGTTTGTTTTTGGAGACGAGCTGGAGAATGGTTGTGCTGACTGATTGGGAGCTAGACATGGTTGTCATCCACAGATGTTCTACAAAAGAGGAAGCTTCGCTGCTTCGCCTTCGAGATGAGCCTTCCTGAATACAGGCACCTCTAGAAAGGCCCTTCAAAAGAGAAGTATGGAAGTACTGCGCTTGTAGCATCTTGTAGCATCGGTGAATTTGCAGTCTTACTGGTTTGCGTCGCCACGAGTGGTTATGAACCCCACGTGTGACCATGGAATGGTGCGTGTGGGGAAATCCTGGGTTTGGGCCTAAGCAGGGGGAGTCCAAGGAGGGTTTGGCCTAAGCATAGCTTGAACAATTAGGCAAGTTTGAAACCCACATCATTGGCATGTTGTCCACTAGGTCATGCGCTGGAGGATGCGTGAAGAATGATCATGCCGATTTTCCAAGGCTTTGGTCTGTGTGGACAACCTCCTCCTCTTTGGCAAATACGGCCCGACAGCGAGACCGCGAATACCAAAGTCTCTTTTGGAGTCGAGAAGCGAATCGCTTCTAGAGCAAGGCACAGAAATCTTCTTACCCGACAGCTTTAACATCCTTTAGCTTGTTCCATTTTGGGAAATCAGCAAGCCACTTCTTCCACCAAACCAGCAAGCCACCAACGCAGGCTTCTAGGCAGTGCCAGCTAAAGTTATTTGTTTCTCAACATGCATCCAGTTGATCGGTCTTCCATTCGTTTCTTCGCAGCCATTGCGCTTTCGCGAGGCGGCAACATGAGCCTCGGAACTCAGTTGTTTGGCTTTGCTCCAGCAGGACCTGGGAGGTTTGCTCGTTTGCTCAAGTATTGGACTGCCCAGTGAACGCTCCCCGTGGAACAAGATCTCGTCTCTTATCGTGGAACGGGGTTTGGAAACGAGGCTTGGCCGTGCGCTGCGCGATGTGCCGAGGCTTTCAAAAGGCACTCTGCTATAGCGTCTTCTGGCGGGAAGCTGAGATGGGAGAGATGTGGTGGGCACTTTGGCCGTTGAGGATGTAGAATGGAGACCTAAAAGGACGAGAGCAAACGTTGAAAGACATGAGCTGCTGACTGATATATATATATATATATATACTGTATATATTTATACTGTATATATATATATATATATTGTACAAATTTGTACAATCTCTCACAAGATGCAGTGGACTCCGACTCACCACCATCCTCATCAGAAAAGAAAGCGTTTGTGTTTTTGACTGGAGAGAGGTGTCATAGGTTACGGCTCAGGGGGCTCAAGTTTTATAGATTGTGAGGAGACATCAGTGTCTCTTCCAAACCACTTCTTTTGTGCTCCATGGAGGACAGAGACAACCAGCTCCCCATGCTCCTGTGCGCAAAGAATAATCCTGACTTGGGTGTTTTGACCAAAGTCTCTGAGCAGAGAAGCTCTGAGTTCTCTGAGAAGCTCTTGCTTTCGGCCTCGGCTGCGGGAGATGCCGCGCATGCACAGCGGCTTCTGCTTCAGAAGGCCAACGTCGGCAGCAGGGACCATGGAGGCCGAACGGCCTTGCACTTGGCCTCCAGAGGCACCGCAAGAGGTGCCGAGGAGGTGGTGAAGCTCCTGTTGGCACAGCGTGCAATTGCCAATGCCATGGATCACGTGGCGATGACACCAATGGATATGGCTGTGTTGGTGCAGAACTGGGGGATCAAGAAGCTCTTGGAGCAGAATGGTGTGGAACTCCAACCCATCTTGAAACGAAAGGCACAAGAAAGCTCCTGGCTGCTGAAGGCCTCAGAGCTCCAACTCCAACGTGAAATTGGAAGCACTTTGAAGAGTGTGGTGCACCTGGCCGATTGGCACGGGACCACGGTGGTGGTGAAATGCATCAAGATGAAGCAGAGGGTGATCATGAACAAGATGAAAAGATCCAAGAGCTTTGACCTGTCCCTGGCGAGAGAATTGCACGAATTGGACGACGTTCCGTTGAAGAAGGAGGATTGCAGCCCGGAGGAAGCAGAGATCGAGCACATGTGTTCCTCCGGAGTTCCTGCGTGAGATTGAACTTTTGTCGTCCCTTCGGCATCCTGATTTGGTGCTCTTCTTGGGGGCATGCTTGGAGAATGACATGCCGGTGATGTTCGTCACAGAGTGCCGGAAGGTGACCTGGAACACTACCTGTACAAGATGAGGGATGAGCAGCAAGTGGCCCACTATGACCCACCTTTATGGCGAACCATCGAATGGTCTATGGCAGTGGCTCGGGCATTGGCCTTTCTCCACAAGTTCCCAGTGATTCATCGGGATTTGAAACCACTAAATTTGCTGCTCACCAAGACCTTGGAGATAAAGGTCACAGATTTCGGCACCAGCAAGCTCATGGCAAAAGCTTGGGATTGTGAGGATGGCTCTGTGGACATGAACGACTTGAAGCACTCGACCAAAGGGGGAGACGCAGATGACCTTGGGAGTGGGTACATACAACTACATGGCTCCAGAAGTGGTTAGGACAAAGAAGTATGATGAGAAAGTTTATATCTATACCTTGGCCTCGATCATGTTCTACTTGAGTTCAGGGAAGCGGCCATTTTACCACCTCTTTGTCAGAGGCCAAGGACCCGCGGAGCTGCTCGAGCGCTTCGCGCGGGGCGACGATCCGTGGCCGGACGCGCGGCAGTGCCACCGCCGTTTGCGCGGCCTCATCGAGCGAGGCTGGGCGGTCAAGGCATCGGAGCGGCCGAGCGCCAAGGAGGTGCTGGAGGACTTAGAGGAAGAAAAGAACTTGCAGATGCTAGGTGCGTCTTGCCAAAGTTGCACCAGCATGTGAGCAGTGACCCTGCGAAAATGCTTGGCATTCACAATCAATTTGAATTCAGGTTGTGCTCACCAGTCAAACTTTTAGCTCTTGACCTGAGGGAGGCGTTTCGATTTCATCCGTTTCGGAGCTTTGAGTACACAGAGCTCGAGCTTCGCAGGGCTGGACATCATGATATATCATGTTGCCGCCCGTCATTCCAGGCCGTTTCAAAGGACCTCCAACGACCCGTTTGCTGGTCATATTTTTATGTACCGTAAATTGACGTGTTTGGGTGTAACAAACACTGTGACGGAAAATCGATGAATCAAGCTCTTGAACTTTGCAGGCGTGCTTAGGCGAAAAGAAAAAGGAGAGGTGTCATTTCGAGAGGAACGCCATGTGAGACAGCACTGCATCATAGAAAGCCAAGGCTTTTCATGAATCAGGCCGAGGACATCAACTAGTTTGGTCTGGATTCAATCCCTCCATGTTGACACAGAACGCTGCAAGGCTTCTTTGTGCCGGGACTTTCAACGGCTACGTGTACTGGTCGCGTGGCAGAGAAGCAGCCTTTGACTGGGGTCCGCCCCTGAGCGACATGTGTTCACAATGTCCTGGACGCCGAGAAGGGGTATCCAAGAACAAACGATGCCACTGTTGAGAGCAATTCCTATCAGGGTGTCAGAATCGCTTCAATCCGCAACGGCAAACTTGCCAGGCACTGGATACCTCTTAGCACGTGCCCGAGAAGACACGAGCTTTGGGCTGGGGGAAAAAAAGTAAAGCTAAAATCTCAAGTCGGAAACAATATAATTTGGACACTTGGGTACAGCGCATTCATCCAATACCAGGGCCAGTACTTGCAAGCGTTGCATGGGTGATCGCACAGCTCGGGATTCTAAGGAATGGATGCTTTCCATTGACAACCTCTTTGTATTCAGGTTGCACTGGGCCGCAATGCAAAAAAATATACATATATATATATATAGACAATATAGGACATGTTTTTTGATATGTTTGGGGCCAGGTCGCAGCCTGATGGGCAGTTCTCTTGCAAAGTGAACTTCGATTTACAAGCCCCGAACGGTCGAGGGTGATGATGGTCCACCTTCAGGTGACACATTCAGAAAGTTCCTCACCTCAAAAGGAAGCACAACCTCCCTCCCAGAAAGACTTGATTGCTATTGTGAGATCTGTGGTGTACCAAGTGGTTTAGGTCTTTGGATGAAATATCCCAGCCAGAAACGCTTGTGGAGACCTGTCTTATTGCCACATTTGCTCTCCTTCATCGCAGCACAATTGCAATCCCTTGTCTTCACAAATTTGTGCGACACCATGGCAGGAGTATCTTCCTCATCTTCCACACTCCCAGTTCCCACAAGCGCCTTGGTGGTAAGGATCCATCTCTGTTCGCTTTGAGGCCGGACCAAGCAGAGGAGACATCCGATCTTCGTTCGCTTCTGAGGGTGGGGAGCCGGACATCTGAGGCACAAGCCGCTCTTCTGGGGCATTTGTGGTCCGGGCTCCCGGACAACCGGTCAAGCACCTTGCTATATACATCTATATAACGTTCGCTTCCTTGTTACTAGCAGTAAGGCCAGGAGCGCCCCTAGTAGCTTCTTCTTACTAGTAGCGATGCACTTGCTGTAATGCTGGGCTTGTGGAATGAATTTGCAGGCAGCTTCGAAAGGCCATTACCCATAGCCTATCACCCCTGAAATCACCCCTGGAGGAAATTACTGAAACCAAGGGAAGGTTTGACTGATCAGGTGAAGATGGAATCGACCAAAGATCTGCCGTCTTTCGTGCAGTGTCTCGGTGACGGAATCCAACGTTCACGTCGCCGAAAAGGAAGCGAGTTCGCCTTCTGTTCTGAACGTTTCGAAGGGACAAAAAGAAGCACTTTCACGGGATAAGACGCACTGAATGAGAAGCCAATGTTGACACTTGAAGAGGTGCCATCGTCTTTCGCATGGCCTTCTTCGTAGTTGGTGAGGTCCTGGTGGGGGCAGCCCAGCTTAGGATCGGAGTTGGCTGGGTGTTCTGAGATCGCTACTAGGGTGGAGGCCATCGCTATTAGTGTGGAGGCCATCGCGTTCTGAGTTTTAATAGATGTTGGAATCCAAGCGGCTTTGGATTGAGATTCAGAAGGCCAGAGACTTGGCTCGGGAAGGATCAAAGGCAGTCGACACAGCGCGGGCAATTTAGAAGAGTGAACGCAAACGTGGCTTTTCTGACATCTCAATGAGGCATAAAAGCTGGTTGTACCTTCAAAAAGGCTCTTGGCTCAAATTCCAACTGATGGTTTGACCAGAAAGTAGATGTGCAGACAACATTCGGGCACAATTCGTGCCAGGAGTTCTGCCTGCGTTTGCCTGGATACGAACAGGGCTACAGAAATAACCTTAGGAACGGGACTGTAGCTGCCAATACTCTAACAAAGGACGGAACCGGTTGTTCGCATTTGCTTGTGCTCAAGAGATGGTTGGAGGATGGTCCAAAATGAGTGGAACTCACACATTTCCCATTCACCTCTCAGATGCATGCCTTTTGGGCCACGCATTTCATCCTGGGCTTCTTCCTCATCTACACTGGTTACAAGGTGCAGTCGCTCCGTCTTCGAATTGCATTTGGAAGCGGTCTTTGGCGGAGCAGCTGCATGCGAACCACATGTCGAAGATGTGTAGTGTGAACTTGAGGTGTAGATGTCTTACTGACCAAACGCATCCAATCACTACATGTCACACAGAGCAGCACAGTGGAAGTACAGTATACAGTATATATATATATACACATGGAACTCTGGTCGAGCTCCATCTACCTATATCAGTAGTTTCGTTTTGTGGGATGAACTTCACTTCGACTCTGGTTTCGAATGTATCGACCAGATCCTGGGCATGGAAGAGGACGAGGAGGACACAAATCCAGACAGCGAATCCTCATGGAATGTCGAGGGGATGTCGAAGTCGCAGACTGCGAGTTAAAGAAATGGATGACCTGACCTACGCCCTTGGTTGATCAATAGAGGGGATACCCTCAGTCGTGTACAACCAATAGGTCCTATGGTACCTGGTTGACCCCTGTACTATTCGCAAAAGGAATATCATTGGTTGAAGGAATTGACCCTCTGATCCCTTGTAGTCATCATATGGCTGAAACCGTGGTCCCGGGGGATTTTGGGGGCCGTACCTGCGTGGCGTGCAGCCCCTCGCTTGGGACGTCCCTGTTTGGCCGACGTCGCGCGAGGACGAGCCCAACCAGAATCCCATCTTTCTTTGGGTCACCAGGTGCGGATGAAGTGTGGAGGGAGGATCAGCCATCGATCAACCTGTCAAGGTTTGAACTTCAAGCTCATGACCAGATCTGGCCTTACCCAATCAACTGGATGTGTTTCCTTTAAGTTGCTTCAAGGTCAGTGGTAGAAGCCAATTATTGGTAGAATGATGACCTTACAAAGCCACTCAACCAAGCCATTTTCCCTGGTGTTCCATCTCTCAAGTGGGTCTTTGTTCCACTGTCGTGCCTTCTGGGCTTTTCTTGAAGAGAGTGAGTCTGCCAGACCTCGAGCTGCCAGGAAGATCAAGCTTATTGACTCGTATTCGCCCGAGCGAAGAGCTCAGCGCATGTCCGTATGGTTGGTCAAAGAGCTCAGCGAGCGATTCGCCGCCGAACGACTTGAAGGAGCAGCATGTCAGTGGACATTGTAGCATGGCACGGACAGGCCTTCTTTGAATACTAGCTGTTTATGACCTGACGGCATGGGGCAATTCACAGCTGGTTTGGTTGGGAGTATTTTCTAGAAACATCAGCAACAGCAAGTGGAAGGAAGTGTAGACGGAGAAAACAAGCCCTGCACAGAACTGGGCAAAACCCGGCATCCTGTGACGTTTTGCTACTGAAAAAGCCTGAACTCAAACAAGGAGGAACACCTAGAAGCAGGATACTTTGCTACTTATATATCCTGTTTTGGAACACTGAATCGTGCTCCGAACTGGGCTTGTCGAACTGAGATCAAGGTCCATTTCTGTGGTAGAAGTAAGCAGGGCGCCGTGCCTCGGGGGGTTTGAAGGAGAGGCTCAACACACTCAAAGAAGTGCCCCATCATCTTCATCGCTCCTTGCACCGCTTGTTTGGCTCTGTGGAGCTCCGAAGATGCAATGTGCAATGTCTGGCAAGCTGCGAACACGCAGTGACCAGGGTGAGTTTCAGATGTCCCAACCCAGGGGATCAGTCAATTCATGTTCTGTCAGAACATGCAGCATCAGAACGACACCAGATTGGCGTTTGAGCTGCATGAATTTGTGATGGCAAACTCAAATGGGAGCGTCCCCCCCCAAAACAGAGAGATGATTGCAACATCCCCACTTTGGCAGGCAAAGGAAAGGGCAACATCTGAACCGAGACACAGCGACTGAGACCTACTTACCTTTTTTCCCTGCCCATGGACCCGCAGAGACCATGTCCTTCTCGGACTCTGAAGCCCTGCCCGATGCGCCGCGTGCCGCCTTCGCGGACCACGGACCCCCGCGGTGTCGCTCGGCACCCTGCCGGCTGCTGCCGGGCATGGACTTGGAGGACTTGGAGCAGATGACCTCGGAGGCCATCGAGCTCTTCCGCAAGGGGCAACAGCCACTGGGTTGGTGTGAATTGGGGCGCCAAGACTTTTGCAAGGGTGGAATTGGAGAGGCTTTGGAATTGCTGGATATTGATGCATGTTGATCTCCTTTTCGTTTTTCATTTCGCAGTTGTGAATCCGAGCTTTCCATCCAAGATCGAGCTGTTTCAACGATTTGAATGGGCAAAGATATGTCAGTGGCAACCATCCTGACTGCTATGGCGGGTGTAGGTCAAACGGCCCGCAGCTGCCGAGGCAAGCTGCGCTAGACTTGGCTGTGGACTTCTCCAAGAATGCAGAGATGCTGCTGGGTCGAAGGCTGGTTTCTCCTTTGCACGATTGCATGGAACTGCCTTGAGAGAAACACGAAACCCAATCTCTTTAGCATCACTCCCGAGTTCGCGTTCGACGGGAAGCGATGGCCTCCAACCTAATAGCGATGTCCTCCATTCCTGAACTCGTAGCGAAGGGTTCTCGTTTAACTCTGGGGGTCTGGGGGTAGAGCCTTTGTAGTAGCGTTCGCAACCGTCGTCAACTGGGCGAAGCTTTTGGAGGGTTTTGGATGGAAGCATGACATGTCAGATTCGTGTGAAATAGCGAGGAAATGTGTGGAAACGTGAGATGTTGATTTGACTGCGCAGGCGCAGCGTTTTGTGAGATCCGCAGTTTTCTGCACAGTCAGATTGAGATTGGCGTTTAGCGGGTGGTGTCTTTGGGCGACTTGGTGGATGGGAGTGTGCTCAGAACGTGTCGACATCACTCCAAACATGTTGCGTGGTGCAACCTTGGCTGAAGCTATCATGATATGAGATTTGGCTTTTCATGGCAGGCGCAGTGCTTTGTGCGGGTCTTGAGGTGTGGAAGTGCAATTTTCGTGGCAGGCGCAGTGAGTCGTGAGGTTGCGAGGTGCGGCGGAGGTCACATTTCGTGGCAGGTGCAGTACTTTGTGCGTGTTGGAGGTGTGGACGTGCAAATTTTTTGTGGCAGCGCAGGGAATGGTGAGGTTGCGAGTTGTGGTGGAGGTGAATGTCGCTGTGACATTAGGATTGGCGTGTGAGCCGGTGTTGCTTGGAGGGGCTGGAATCGCGAAACTGCTTGAGTTAACGCTCGTTCTGGAGACTTGACGAGTGAATTTGGGAAGAAGTCTCGTACCAAATGCTCGTTTTGCAGACTTGACGTGTGACTTTGGAGCAAGTCTCGTACAAAACGCCAGTCTTTAGTAGTTCTACAAGAATGTCCCACAAGAGTGTCCTACAGGAGTGTTTCGCAAGAGTGTCCCACAAGAATGCCATACAAGAGTGTTCCAAAAGAGTGGCCCACAAGAGTGTTCCGCAAGAGTGCAGGAGTGTCCCACAAGAGTGTTCGACACCAGTGCCCTACAAGAGTGTCCCACAAGACTGTTCCACAAGAGTGTCGGACAAGAGTGTCCCACAAGACCGGTCCATAAGAGTGTCCGACAAGAGTGTGCTACAAGAGTCCCACAAAAGTGCCCCACAAGAGTGTTCTACAAGAGTTTTCCACAAGAGTGTCCCGCAAGAGTGTCCTACAAGAGTGACCTACAATAGTGTCCCGCAAGAGTAACCTACAAGAGTGACATACGAGAGTGTCCCGCAAGAGTGTCCTAGGTCCTACGAGGGTGTCCTGCAAGAGTGTTCCGCAAGAGTGTCCCACAAGAGTTTCCTACAAGAGTGTCCTACAAGAGTGTCCACAAGAGTGTCCCGCAAGAGTGTCCTACAAAAGTGTCCCACAAGAGTTTCCTACAAGAGTGTCCTACAAGGGTGTCCCACAAGATTTCGTGAGTGTGGCATGGCCTCAGGACAGGCCACTTCGTAGTATAAATGTAGCGCGGGAAGCGGCTTCTGGTCCCTCGCGCCTCAGAACTGGCAACGTTAGCTGTGGCCTCAGAACTGGCAACTTGCAGTGAACCCTGCGCAGACGCTCTCGGGAAAAAGTATGTTTCTCTAACAAATCAGCAGCGCAATCCTTCTCAACATGTTCTTATGTCTTTAGTCCTCTGCTCTAAAATCAAGCACACTAGGCTACTCTTTTTAGATTACACCTGTTTTGACCTAATTTGGGACGCTTAAGCTCCCGATTTCAGAGTGTTTATCTTCACAGGGATACATATTATATTACAAAGCTGCCAGTTCTTCGTAAAGAAACATCTGCAGAACTACGTCCATCTACATCTTCAAATCTTCACCTCTGCACATCTACATTCTCACCTATATCTCTGCTCATCTTCACATCTGCACATCTACATCTCGGCTCATCTTCACATCCTCACATCTACATCTCTGCTCATCTTCATCTTCACATATCCACATCTCTGCTCATGTTCACATCTGTGCATCTACATCTCTGCTCATCTTCACATCCTCGCATCTACATCTCACATCTGCACCTCTCGCTCTTCTTTACTTTCTCTCTTAAGGCCAGGGGCGGTGCCGCCGGAGCACCACGAAACGCAACCCTCTGCGGAGATCGTGCACGTCGAGGGCGCGAAATGCAGGCGAGAGCGCGTTTTGTCTCTGTCCGGCGCAACCCTTTGCGGAGATTGTGCGTATCGCGGGCGCGAAATGCAGGCGAGAGTGCGATTTGGTCTTGTCCGGCGCAACCCTCTGCGGAGATCGTGCGCGTCGAGGGCGCGAAATGCAGGCGAGAGTGCGTTTTGGCCCGGTCCGGGGCAACCCTCTGCGGAGATCGTGCGTGTGGACTTTGTAGTACAACTCTGGCACGCGGAGCAATCTGTGGAGCTGGAAGCTGAGAACTGGCCACTTTGTAGTGCAACTTGAGTACGCGGAGTATCTGGGGAGCTGGAAGATGAGAACTGGCGAGTTTCTAGTACAACTTTAGCGCGGAGCAATCTGTGGAGCTGGAAGATGAGAACTGGCGACTTTGTAGTACAACTTTAGTACGCGGAGCAATCTGTGGAGCTGGAAGCTGAGAACTGGCGACTTTGTAGTACAACTTTAGTGCGCGGAGTATCTGGGGAGCTGGAAGATGAGAACTGGCGACTTTGTAGTACAACTTTAGTACGCGGAGTATCTGGGGAGCTAGTACAACTTTAGTACGCGGAGCAATCTGGGGAGCTGGAAGCTGAGAACTGGCGACTTTGTAGTGCATCTTGAGTATGCGGAGTATCTGGGGAGCTGGAAGCTGAGAACTGGCGACTTTGTAGTACAACTCTTGTGCGCGGAGCATCTGGGGAGCTGGAAGATGAGAACTGGCGACTTTGTAGTACAACTTTAGTACGCGGAGTATCTGGGGAGCTGGAAGATGAGAACTGGCGACTTTGTAGTACAACTTTAGTACGCGGAGCAATCTGTGGAGCTGGAAGCTGAGAACTGGCGACTTTGTAGTACAACTTTAGTACGCCGAGTATCTGGGGAGCTGGAAGATGAGAACTGGCGACTTTCTAGTACAACTTCAGTACGCGGAGCAATCTGTGGAGCTGGAAGATGAGAACTGGCGACTTTGTAGTACAACTTTAGTACGCGGAGCAAGCTGTGGAGCTGGAAGCTGAGAACTGGCGACTTTGCAGTACAACTTTAGTACGCCGAGTATCTGGCGACTTTTTAGTACACCTTTAGTTGTGGATCTCTCGCGGCTGCTCTGGCGCCCCTGCAGCTGAGTCATGTCTCCCGACGACCCGGCTCTCTTGAGAGGTTGACAGATTTTAGCTACTTTGCTTACTCATAAGTGGCCGCCACAAAAGAGTCATCGTGACGTTAGTATGTGTGTACTTCACCTTCATGACAAACGATGTTCGCTTGGAATACACGAGTCGCTGTCGTGATCGTGACGTCCTTTACTCTCAGGTCGCCCTTTTCGTGGAAACTTCAGTGTGACATGTACGTTCTTCAGTTCTATTTGAACCTCTTCAGCGTTGTACTTGCACGACTAAGGTTGACGTTGCGCTGCCGTTGCATCGACGCATCTACGTCTACACCCCCTCACCTCTCTACATTTACATCTTCGCATGCTCACATCCGCAGATCTACCTCTCCACCTCACCACACCCACACATCTGCACATCTATATCACATCTGTACATCCACACTGTCGCTCCTTCACATCTGTCCTGTCTTTCTTTCTTGCTTTCTACATATCTTGTCTCTCGTCTCTGTGCATTTACATCTTCGCACGCTCACATCCACAGATCTACCTCTCCACCTCCATACATCTACAGACCTATATCGCACCTGCACATCCACACTGTCACTCCTTCACATCCACCCTCTCTTTCTCTCTTTCTATACATCTTTTCGACAGTGCTGGACAATTACATGTCTCGCTCTCGGGCCAACCGTCGTCTAGTTCATTTTTGTCAAGCAAATGTCAAGTCCTCTGATTCGTTAGAGATTTTAGATGAGTTTAGGCTTGATGAGGTTGTGCAGTTGATTCTAGAAAGCATTATGTTTTGGTTTTGCAATTTTTGCGGTCCTTGGCTCTGCACATCTCTGAAGACTACCAATTTATCATTGTTGGATAGGTTTTTGATCATTGGAACCAATATCATGCCAACCTCAATACCAATGCAATGTTCATCAATGTTCCACTCTAGATTTGAAAGCTTGAGGCCATCCTGTCCCCTGATAGATGGTCAAGAATCAGGTGGTCTCTCACCCCAAAGATATCATAGTTTTGTTGTTGTGGCTAGTGTGCTCAGGCCCCTTGAATTTATAGAAACCATATATTGCCTATATTTGTTTTTGGAACATATCTGTTTGTTCTTTGCTTCCGGCGTGGGAGCAGAAGCGGAAAGGGCGCGGGTTTGTAAATGCTAAGAGCAGCCAGAGCATGGGTGTTTGTTGTTTAGAGCAGTGGAACGCCGCAATTCTGGGAGCTCGATTTTATACTTCTCTCATTTTCTTTGTTCTCTTGATTCTTGACCAAATTTTGGCTATGTCCACAGATTTAGGCTTGTAAAGTGGGCTGCGCTGACCTACCCCTCGAATCTGCATGGGGGGATACATATGTAGTATACGGGAAGCAGCTTCTGGGAGCTGTGGCTTCAGAACTGTCAACTTATGTGGCCAAATTAGATCTGAGTACGTGAGTGTCGTATGTGAGTGTCCCACAAGACCGTCCCGCAAGAGTGTTGCACAAGAGTCCACAAGAGTGTCCTACAAGAGTGTCCTGCAAGAGTGTCCCACAGAGTGACGAAAGTGTCGCACGAGAGTGTCCCACAAGAGCGTTCTACAAGAGTGTCTCCTACAAGAGTGTCAAAAAATGTTTGGGCGTTCGTTTTCGAGTACGTGTTTGCATTCGGGTTTGTGGATTCCATTTGTTTTTTCTTTTTGCGATTTCTTGTTCACCCCGACTTGGTGAACGTCAGTCATCCGGTGAACGTGAACGCGCTGGCCACCGTGGCGGCCCTGGCCGAGCAGATGGGCTGCCGACGGGAGGCGGAAGAGTTGCTCCAGGAAGCAGAAGAGCTGCACCAGGAGATGGAGGGACGGAGGGGGAGAGAGTAAATCTTATGTATTTTTTGCGTTGCTTTTTGTTGCTTTTATTTTAAAGAAAAGGTTATATAATGCACATTATGTGTTCCAGATTCTTGGTGGCTAAACGGCTAAACATGTGGTGAACACCGTGAAGTCCAAGTAAAAAGAAGGTGATGTGAAGATGCCAGAGACATACTGGTTCACTCAACAGCTGCATGGCTTGCTTTTTGTCAGGAGCACCTCGAAGACATGGACGACCTCGCCACTGAAAGCTCAAGAAGCCACAGCAGAAGCTCCCAAAGTTCTGAGGCAGCAGCAGAGGGTATCGAGCATCTCACTTGGGAGGTTCAGGAACTCTTGAAGGATGGCCATCCAGAACTTGCTGCCAAGCTGCTGTCAGAAGCAGAAGTGAGTGTACTGGCGGGTGGCCAAGAGAATCCCACCCTCCATTACCTCAAGAAGGCGTCGCTGCACACCCTCTGGGCCGCAGTTTTAGAGGATATTGGGGAGAAGGACAAAGCTGCTAAGCTCTATGATGAAGCACTGACATGCTTAAGGCATGATGAACCTCAACATTTGGATTCTTGTACTTCTTCCGATGCTTCCCATCGGACGAGCCACAGTGGTGGTTCCGGTGGGAGTGCAAGTGCCGAGAGTTTCAAGGTTCCCCCAGAGCAGCAGGTGCTTTTACCATTGGAGGAAAAGATGAAGCTTTTGATGGAGCGTGAGGAGCCTGAGCAGAAGACCTGCTTGGAGGCGGCCCACGAGCCTCAGCAGCTTCGAGAAGCCGAGCTGCCAAAGCCCGAGGCTTTGTCCGGAATACCAGAGCCTCCAAAACCGGAGGCTTCAAGCCCAGCCAAAGCGAAAGGGGCTGAACCTTCCCAGTCCTCCGCCTATGAGCCTTCAACACCTGCCCCTGCCCCTGCGCCAGATGTCACTGTTGTTATATCTGCTGTGAAAAGCCTAGCTTCCCAAGTTTCCCCAGCTCCCCAACCCCCTCGTGCTAGTCCATCCACCCCCACTCCAGCCACTCCAGCCACTCCAGCCACTCCAGCCACTTCCCCACCGAAGGCAGCACCAGCCACACCACCCAAGGCCACGCCTAAGAGGCGTCCGCCTCCCTTGGCGCCTAAGGCCACTCCTCTTGCGACCGCCGTGCGCGTGGGTGGTGGCTTCAAGCTGCCCAAAGCGCCGCCGAAGGCGTCTTCGGCCAAGGCCGCGCCGCGGAAGGTGAAAGCCAAGGCGAAGGCGAAGACGGTGGAGACAGTGGAGACAGTGGAGATGGAGACTGAGACACCAACACAGGAGAGTGATGTTTTTGGGAGTTAGTTGGAGAGAAGACTAAACATGGGGACCACCCCCAACCTTGCCGTTTCACCCCAAATCCCATGTCCTCCTTTGGCAGGAGACCCCAGAGCCGTCCAAGGAGGAGCTGGGTGCTCGTTTGACGGAGGCGGCGAAGAAGGCCATGGTCACAGCAGATCATTTTTTGGGGCTGGCCAAGTTTGACAGAGCTGCAGATGTCTTGGAGGACCAGCTGATGGAGATATCTTCCGACAACTGCCCCCTGCGGAACAGCAACTTGCACATTGAGCTGCTCGAGAAGTATGGAGGCATACTTTGGTGGGATGGCGACTTGGAGAGCGCCATCGATGCTTATGCTGCGGCTGATGAGGTTTTGACCGAGCCACTTGGATGTGAATCTTTCCATATCTTTCCTTATTTTGATTCCCAATCTCTTCTTGGAAGAGCTCTTTTCCTCACAATTTGCGCGGACTGCCTTGCAAGGCGCGGCGCCGACTCGGGCACCGGGTCCGATCCGCAGCTTTTGATGCGACGTGCCAAGATCTGGAGTTTGGTGGCACAAATCCATCGCAAAAGCGGAGACTTGGAAGCAGCCGATCGACATTTGCAGGCTGCAATGCACTCCTTGGAGGTGTTGCCTAAGATGCCATCTGGAAGTGATAAGACCTACTCTCCCATGGCTTTGGATGATCTTCTACGAGATCTTCAAGCTGCTTTAGGGCAGGTCTGTGTTGAGAAGAAGGAGTATTCCCGTGCGCAAGAGCTTTACCTCATGGCATTTAGTCCACAAAAGCCAGCCGAAACTTTCAGCTTGACAGCAAGCGAAAACGTCTGAGATCAGAGATGAGCTTTGAGGCTGCAACATGGAGCCACGCCAAAAGGCTGCGACACAAGAGAGTCAGAGTGCTTCCCTCATCCATCGAGCATCCATGCACCCTGCTACTTGAAGGATGGTTCCAGTCAAATACCCGACTAATATTCGTTGTTGAAAGTGGGAACTCGCACAGAAAGACTTCAGGGCAGTCGGTGCACATCATTCATGGTACTCTACCCCTCTGGACAGAAACACAGGTGCAGTTTCGTCGACAATTCCGGAGATTTCTTCTCACCCTAAGAATCCTTAGCCTCTGTGTGTTTGAGAGCCCGGATTCTTAGGGCAGGACAATTCATTTCTTTGTAGAGCGGAGATTTCTCACTTTGTCTCGCTGAGAGGCCGCGTTTCTTTGCTCGTGCAGCCCTGGACGAGCAGACGAAGGAGACCTAACATGGTGAGAGCAAGAAACGAATGTTCCGATTTGGAACGACATCCATGGAAATCCCAAGGCATCCTGAATCATCCTAAGGCTTCTTCCCTCATTGTTCCAACATAACTCCTCCAGCTGTCTCCAGCTCTTTGCAAGAAAAACATGGAGCTCCTCCCGAGCTTCCCATCTATCTTTCAGTGTCTCTTTCCCCTCCGAATTTTGCGTGGCTGGGGTGAGCTGAGACCCCAGGTAGACCGCGGATCGATCAGATCCACCGAAGTCCTTTCAGGAGCCCGTGCTTCCGGATTGGACACCGCAAATGTCAAGCCCTCAGATTTCTTGGATGGGCTACCTTGCTCGAAGACTCGCATTCTTCGTACAATTAAGTCCGATCGATGCTCAGGTGAGAGCGGATTTTGCATCCATTGCAGCGGAATAAAGATGAACAAAGCACGTCTTCCTTTGACGTTGCTACATCCTGCCGCATAACTTGAAGTCCCCCTTCACACTCGAATCTACCGTGGATTAACGATTTGGTGGACACAAGGTCCCAGGTCCATCAATCGGATATGCTCCAGTTCCAAGAGGTTCGGATGATGTGACATCAGTGACATCGTCCTGTTGGCCTTGCGCTGTCAGGTTGCCCAAGGACTGCGATGTGATGATCTCGGTCGGCAGAGAGACGCGCGCTGAGAGACCGACTGGTTTGGAGCGACTCTCGATCGGCGGAATCACAAACTTCAGACTTCCCCAAAGTATATATATATAATATATATATATATGTATGACAGTTTCCCTACATGTAGGAACCAAATCATTCATTAGTGCAAGCGCTTCTTCAAGGAAGCTCCCCCCCGCCGCCTTCAGGGCGGTGGGGGAGCTTCCTTGAAGAAGCGTGAGTCCATATCCTTAGCTTAAGTAGCTAGGAGCCTTCCGAGGGCAGGCCTACCGGGCCAAAAGAACGTAAACACCACGAAAGCTTTCCAAGATCGCTGAGGGCAGACCTCCTTGCCTTGAAGACGTTGAAGACGCCAAGTCTTGACTAGACGCCCAAACCCGTTCGGACAGCGGTTGGGCCGGTGGTGATGAGGTGCACGAGCCCAGCAAGGGCCGTGATCTGACCTATGGGACTGGGTGTGTCGAGTGGACGTCATGGCTGGCAGATGGAGCATCCTCCTGTGTAAATTATCCTCATAGATCTATGACATGGATGGGGTGTCAACACCCTCCTAAAACTTTTTTAGGAGCTTTCGCATCAAAGGACGTCAGGATGAAAAGCGGCTTGAGGAGCTTCTTACAGATCATGGTAGAGTCATTTTGACTTCTTACGGACATGGCATGAATGAGCAAATCCAGAGATCAGACGTTCTCATTTCATTCTCCACCACGGCACGAATCTCCAGGACCTATGCCACCCGTTTGGTCTTGGTGGTTCTGTGCCTGGAGGCAAGACAAGGAAGAATTCGCACGCAGAAACACACGGAGCGGGGAGTTTGTTATTCCGAGGCCCTTGTTGCGTTTGCAGGTGAGCAGAAAAGGTTTGGATTTGATATGCTGCGCTTCAATGGTTGTGTTGTAGTTCAGTTGCAACCGTCTGATGTCTTTTCCGGCAGACCTAGGATCAGCTGACTCTACACAAATGATCAAAGGAAGCTCCCAGCAGCTTAGGAGTTGTAGATGCGAACTTCTTGGATACGAACTGTAAGGTGGTTGGCACCTTTGATGTTTGGCACATATGACTTTCCTTGCCCCTTCACCAAAGCATCTCCAGCATTTTTCTTCCAGCTTCCTCTTTGGGGAAGAGCGCTTCTTGGGAAATGGGACGAACTCCTTCGGTGTTGAGCCGAACTGCCAGTTGACGGACGTGGCCTTCGCCGCCGCTGGGGCTGCACTTGCGGACGGCCACGGAGGGAGCTTCTCACCAGAAAGCATTCTTTTGTTACTACGATGGCTTCCAACATCCTCCAACCTACTAGCGATGGCCTCCACCTAGTAGCTTCTAACCAGTCCAGAGGGATCATGCACGCATCCCGAAAGTCCCAAGGTGGACTCGGTCTCGGCCATCATCGCTCAGATCCCAGACCTCTTCTTGGCCTCTTGGTGGCCATGTATGGCCAATTGATGGCTTTTTTGGGGGGGAGAGATGAAAACCCACAACAGACAAAACCAGTACTTGCAGCATGAAGAATGGAGTGGGGCAAGATAGCCGGGGAGTCAGTGGAGTAGCCCACTCCACCTCCGTACACCATGGGGTTTTCCGTCTTGGCAGTTCAGCTGTCGGCTCAAGTGGAGGGAGAAAAGAGATTACAACAGCGATGGGCAAGCAGAGGAAGCTCTTAGTCTTGAGGCCTTGAGGCTGTTATTTTGGTTGGTTCAAGCACCAGAAGACGGTACACCATGGTGAAGATGATTTGGAGTCCACAAAATGCCCTGACACTCTTCCACCGATCCCTTCTTGGCCGAGGCCTACACTGCGTGTGTCTTTGCCATGCTAGGTGCGAATACTTCAAACAAAGAGAAACCAAGAGCACATATGCCGAGTATGCCGAGTTTTGTGGATTACCCATTCCTCTTCACGGTCTGAAATCAAGGACACTGGCTGCTTTTTAGTGGGATCGTTTCCTTTGAGAAAGGCTCAAGAAACATGCCCTCAAAGAGATTATGGGCCCTGCCGAGACATGCGCATGCCGGGCATGGCAACAATTTGGCCATACCTCAGAGATCCTCAGAGGTTCTTCAAAGCATCCATTGGCCGCCAGGGAGAGCTCACATGATGGATGTTTACCAATCTTTTACCAAGGTCCCTGCAAAAAAAGGGGATTTAGATGAGAAGTTCATGTTCCATGATCATGTAGGGGGTGAGGGGGTGGTTCAGAGACCATTCCCAGGGTGGAGGGACCTGTCTGATTCACAGCAGCTGGGATTTGTTCGAGACGACCTACCATCCAAGCCCCAATAGAGCAGGTTTGATCTACGGAAGGACTTTGAGGTTGGACTCCAGGAGAGGAGCACGATTGGTAATTGATAACTTTTACTAATATATATGCACATAACATATATGCCTCAAGACTAATAAAGACCATCGCACAATTCAGGCGTTCTAAAAGCTATTGAGTCCCATGGCACTAGTATCTCGTGCTTTTGCTCCGCTTTTGTACCAAAAAGATCAGTCTACTCAATCCGGAGCCAACGTGCTTGCCTTCTGGTTGAATCCTTCGAGGGATTTCAAGCCGCGGGACCTTCGTGGGCCAGGTCTTCGCGCGACCTTCTTCGTGGTGGATGAGCTGGTGAAGCTCTTCACTTTGCTGCTGCTGGGATTTGCTCTCCATCGTGAAACTGGAGAAGAACCGGCCATCCGTGTCATCGGTTTAGGGTGGTGTTGTTTCGAAACAACACAGCCTAGCAGGTGAACATCTCACAGCCTGGCAGGTGTTGAATCAAACTGAGGAAGGAACCTTAATCAATGAATGTTTGGTGGCTTTGATCTTGGTATGTGTGAAGTGTCTCGTGTGGCCTCCTATGTGTGAGGAAAAAGAGTTAGAAGATGCATCTTCAGATGCCAGGTGATCTCTAGACTCTAGACTAGACCATGTTGAAACATGCAACAAACAGTGAAAGAGCAACGCCATGCTCCATTTTCTTCTTTCTTTCAGAGGACTTGCAAACATCGCTGAATTGAAAAAGACTTGGGGTGTCGTCTCATCGCTGACGGCGATTGTTTGGCGTCTCATCCCCGAGGCCTTACGCTGTCTCGGTGATTCTGATGTTCATCGGCGCCAAGCTGGTGCGGGGGGCCGACCTGTTTGCCTGGGTGGGCTGGTGTCAAGACCAGCGGTTCAGGAGGAATTTATAGGCACCAATCGAAACAAAAACAATGATAGGCATCAATGATTTTTTGAATCACCCTGTCCAGGATACTGTTTACACAAAAATGGTTCTTTCTGAGCTTAAGAGGTGACCACGTTCCAAGTTCGGAACAGCTCTGGACCTCCCCGGTGATGGGCTGCGATCGGAGCTTCCCAGCTGCTCCAGGTGGTTCGAGGTTGGATCCACATTCCTGGTGAGGCCTTGCCGTCGTGTTCCTGGCGAGAAGGAACAGCGTGAAGAACGGCGAAAAGGAACTTCTTTGTCCTTTCTTCTCTGATGAAAGAGCTGATGAAGCAGCTTACAGTATACTATTCACTTAAGATTTGGCCGAAGCAGAATCGACTAAGGCCTGTAGGTTCACAGTTAGAGGGGTTTTGATAAAGTAGACTTTCAATCAGTATGTGTAGAGATGTCCACATTTTCTGCCTGCACGTCAGGTGGTTTGCATGACGCTGGTCGGAGTTCTGACCGTCAGCAGCAGCCTCAGCGTGGTCAAGCAGATGCCATGATTGCAGGTGCTAAATGGCACAACCTTGGGACCACTGAGCTAAAGAAGATTCCATGGTTCTTTTGGAATTCCATGTTAGGAGAAAGGACGAGCTCAAAACGCCCGTCTTGGGCCTGCACGGATTCGGACGCAGGCATCCTTGCATCCGCGGTCTATGACCGCTTGAAGCCCCAGGAGTGACAGCCCTGGGGGCTATGGGGCTGGGATGTGGAGATGTGGACAGAAAAGCCTTGTGGCCATTTCGAACAACTACATACCAGAACATATCAGAGGTCACAGTCGCTGGTTGCTGATGCAGGATTGACAGCCTGGTTTCAGCTGAAAGGATCGGACCATCAGCGAGCAACCATTTGTGCAAGCAACCATTCAAAGCTAATGTGCAAAGCGCATGCACAAGCAGATTTCAATGTCCCAACTTTCTAATTCAGATTGTGAAAGGGATTTGTCTTTGTTCAGAGACGCAGGACAAGGCAGAAGGCGATTGCAAGAAGGAGGCGTTGGCGTGGTAAGAAAGTTCTTGTGCAGCTTCCAACTCTTCCAAGAGCGCTTGCTGCCCAAATTCTGGCTTGGGTTTGCCTATTTGAGACGGGAGACGTGGTCCAATCCATGTCAACTTTCACCTTTGTTAACAGCGGGAAAGGGATTGTGGGACCTCAGGGAGCACCAATTGTACTCATCATGTGCTGGTGCGAAGGGATACATCATATCCATCCAAGAAGCATTGACCCTGCTACTAGGTTGGAGGCCATCGCTAGTAGGTTGGAGGCCATCACTATTAGGTTGGAGGCCATTGCTAGTAGTTACTTAAGCTTAGTAGTTACTTAAGAAGCGTTGACCCATGCCTCGGGGAAAGGTGTCGTCTGCATCTGGGCCAGTCCAGACCCTGGCTCCGGCTGAGATGTTTTGAGAAAGGAGCGTCAGGTGAGCGCTCAGCCATGCTCCTCAGCACCACCCTAGTTCTCAGGGTAGCTACAAGCTCCTGTCACAACAAGTTGCTACAACAAGTAGCTTGTCTTCCAATCCATCCTCCAGGTGATTGTCTCAGACTAAGAGAATCTAAGAGATGATGAGTGGTCCTGTGGGTTGAAGTGAAGCAAAGGAAGAGCTAAGCATCATGTGCCTTTCCTACTTGGCCCCCCCATCTCTCACGCCATTTGTTCTCGCAAGGTGCCCATCTCGGAAGACACCGATGCATGAGGCTGGATATTTTGAACAAACGGTATATACACACATCTTGTGCCTAGATGGGGAGCTGAAGATCAACCTATGAAAAAAAATATATGTGTATATCTTTACAGCACATCAGATCAATGTCCGAGACGCAAGCTTTGTACCTGGGGTTTCTCAAAGAAGATTGAAGAAAAAACACATGCTCGATACCGCCACTGAATCGCATGATAGTCATCGAAGGAAGGAATTTAGACGTCAATATCTGCTGCACAACTGATGTTGCAGAACCAACCGGTCAAGCTTTGAAAGACATACCTGTGACCTATCCAGGACACAGAGCCGGACTGCCAAAATCCAAGAGGAAAAGCAAGTTGCGTACTGGACAGGGATGGCTGTTGTGATTGGAATGCTTCAATTTGTATGTGAGAAAAGCTTCTCCCCCTCAGTTTTCTTCTTGGCACATGATATGGATGCCCCGAATTCGCTTGGCTTTTCTGTGCTTGCCACAGTTTGTCCAAAAAGCCCGCTTCAGCAGACCTGTCAAGCAGACCGAGACCGCCTCCAAAAGCATCCTCGCCGCGTCGCATGGGCTCGGCCGCGACGGCCGAGTTAGCGGCATGTCCAGCAGAGGACCCGGAGGATGCGGCCTTGCTGGACTTTTTGTCAGAAGACCCGGACCGTGCGCGCCGCCTTCTGAGCTTGGCCGCCCGCGCGGAACGGCTGATGCCGAGCGTGACGGCACCGGTGCCGGCACGTGTGATGAGAGGTGCGGAGGTGGTGGGAGGTTGAAGGTCCATGGCATGGATGGCTCGACGTTTGAGCTTTCGCTTCAAGATTCTGCCAGTGTGGATGATCTCTTCAACATCATTTTGGCAAGAGCTGGCACGAAAGTGGGTCGAATGCTGGTATTGACCTCCGGTGGCAACGTCCTCAACCCCTCCTTGCCGCTGCTTCCACAAGTGTCAGGTGAGGAGGTCACATATGTTGCCCGAAAGGTCTCAGATGGAGAAGCAGTTGAGAGCTTGAAGCTGGCACTGACAGGGACCAAATTGTCACTCTCAGATACGGCTGCCATGGATTCAATCTTGTCACTGAACTTCTTGGAGAGCTTTAATGGGAGCCTTGAAGGTCTGAGGCTGCCAAGCAGTCTGCATGCTTTGTCCTTGGTGACAAGTTCAATCAAAGCTTGGCAGGTGTGGGATTGCCAAGCAGTCTGCAAACTCTATTCTTTGGCCAGAAGTTTGACCGAGGCCTATTTGGTGTCACGTTGCCCCAGAATCTGCTGGTACTCACCTTCGGCAATGAGTTCAAGCAACCTTTGAGCCCTACCACGCAGCCTGCACACTTTGACCTTGGGCCATAGTTTCGACCACAGTTTGGAAGGTGTTGTGCTCCCAAGCAGCCTGCAGATATTGACCATCGCTCCCGAACCATGCAGTCAAGCTTCACTCAGCTGACGTGGCCTCTGCTACTGTTCAAGACGCCTTGCAAAAACTCCAACAGTACTGGCTGGACACAGATTTGGACCAGACAGAGGCCGAATATAGATGACCTGTGGCCAATTTTGCAAGAACATTTACCTCCTCGTGCTGAGGTCGCGCATTGGACATCGCTCACTCATGAAGATCTGCGACAGGCAGCAAAACCCTGTCGGGGAACTTCTGCGGGCCTCGATGGCTGGACAACTGAAGAAGTCTACGCTTTCTCGGATGATATGCTAGCTACTTTGGCAGCTTTCTACAATAAATGCGAGAGCCTTGGCCAGGCACCGGCAGCTTGGAAGATGACTCGGCAGGTGCACTTGAGCAAGGATAAGAAGTTGCAGAGCGATGGTTCAAGCCTTGCTGGTGACCTTCGTCCTGTGTCTGTTGCCTCCATGATGTGGAGAGTCTGGCCGCTCTTCTGAAAGACATGTGGACCACACAAATACGGTTCCTGCAGTTCATGAGCGAGACATTGCCCGTTGGCATACCTGTGTCATCTTCTTTACCTCAAGGGGATTGCTTCTCCATGTTGGCAATGACATGCCTGCTTCTACCTGCGGTGAATGATATCCGAACTCGTGAAGTGAATGTGGAGCAAGTGGTGTATGCTGATGACCGTTCTTTTGCATGTGCTACGCCGCAGCAGCTCAAACGTATGACAGAACATTGGACACGGTGGGCTGGGATCCTTGGCCTTCGCGAAAACGGCAGCAAAGCTCAGTACTACCATGCCCGCTCTGGTGGACGCCGAGACTTGGAACGCATAGGCTTACCATCTGAGTGCATTTCAGACCGCATTCGTATCTTGGGCTTCACTTTCGCTGGACTCCGACCACGAAAAGCTGGGCCCCATGAGCAAAGCCGCCTCGAGGAGGCCAAGGCCAAGGCGGCTCGGGTCAGATGCCTACCTGGGGGCCTAAAGAGGCAAATGCGCCTTGCCCAATACGCAGTGCTTCCTAAGGCTGCCTGGGGTTGGGCATTCCGAAGGCCTGCCCTTGTGGACGTCAGACCATTTGAGGCCATTTGCCGAAAGTTGTTCAGGACCCCTACACATGCTAGCACACACCTCTATGGTATTGTTCGAGGCCACGCGTGGGACCTTCGATTTCAGTCCGTGCATACCGTCTGCTCCATCCTGTTTAGGTTGGTCTCAAGACATCACACACAATTGCTGGATTGGCAAAATGAAAAGTCTGGCTGGCCTGGCGCATTGCGTCAAGGACTTCATGACCTTGGTTGGACGGAGTCCTCCTCTTGGACATGGTCTCATCCGGGATTACAAACGACCCTGAGCTTCATTGAACAGGATGCTGGCTGGAAAGGCCATGTGCGTGAGGTCCGGCACCTTCTCCGAGAATCTTGGAGGCGCACCTTTTTTCATAAATGGCTAGCCATGGATCGAGTGGATAGCCGTGAGTGCGCGGGAACAATTTACTCTGCGCCTCGGGTCAAGATCCTCAGGCTTTTGCACCTGTCCAGCCATGAAGTGGCGGTGGTCACGGGGGCTCAAGTCAGCCCTGCGAGATTTGAAAAAATGATCCCTGGTTCCAGGTTCTCTTGTCCTTGGTGTGGTGGGGAGGGAGAGCGCGCTACATGGCGGCACTGTGCTTGGGACTGTACTTTTGCCCCTAAACCCCCGAACGTTTCCTTTGCTTCTTGTTTTGACGTAATGCAACGTAGATTGGGCTGGCCTTCTGGGCTTTCAAACCGAAAAGCTCTTGATGGAAAATTCTGAGATGGCTTGCGGCGGTTAGGCGGCGGTGCCTGGAAGCGCGCAGGTCTTGAATCTGTGAGTTTTTGGTCTTAGTTTGCTTCGACTAAGGCCACTTGGGTCATTGTTGCGCGGAGACGCGCGGTGGGTACTGGGCTTTCCAAAAGGAAAGCTCTTGGTGGAAACCAAAAATTCTGAGGTGGCTTGCAGCGGTTAGGCAGCGGTGCCTGGAAGCGCGCAGGTCTTGAATTTGTCAGTTTTGGTCTTGGCTTGCTTTGACTAAGGCCACTTAGGTCATTTTGCCGCGCGGTGACGCGCGGCTCGCACTGGCTACTCTCCATGTATGTCTTCGGCAATGATGGTGGTAGTCATCGTCTATACGCTCTTTTTTTTAGATATTGTACATCGGTTGTGAATTCAACCAAAGCTTGGAAGGTGTGGTGCTGCCAAGCAACATGCAGACGTTGGTTTTGGGTCAGAAGTTCAACCAGAGCTTAGAAGGTGTGACATTGCCAAGTACTCTGCAGACTTTGGCTCTTGGTGAGAAGTTCAGTTCAACCAGAGCTTAGAACGTGTCACATTTCCGACTGGACTGTTGAATTTAAGTTTGCATCAACTCCAGCCAGAGCTTGGAGGGTGTCAAGTTACCAAGTGGCCTGCAGACTTTCCATGTCTCCAAGCTGCAAGGTATTTCGTGGCCAAGTAGCTTGCAAACTTTGGCCTTTGGCTGTGACTTCAACGAGAGCTTGATAGGTGTCACCCTGCCGAGCAGCCTGCGGACTTTGACCTTTGACTATAAATTTAATCATAGCCTGGCTGGGGTCGAGCTCCCTTGCGGCCTCAAGAATTTGACCTTCGGCCAATGCTACGATCAGACTTTGGTGGACGTCGCATTGCCCAGTGGCCTGGAGGCTTTGACCTTCAGCAATGCGTTCGACCAAAGCCTGGAAGGTGTAGCGCTGCCAAGCAATTTGCAGTTTTTGATGTTTGGTAGTCTGTTCAACAAGAGCTTGGAGGGTGTCAGCTTGCCGACCAGTTTGCGCACTTTGATCTTCGGCCAGGAGTTCAACCAGAGCTTGACACAGGTCCTGCTCCCAAGTAACCTGCGCAATTTGACCTTCGGCTTTTCTTTCAACCAGAGCTTGGAAGATGTCACTCTGCCAAGCGGCCTACAGAGCTTGACATTCGGCTGCGAATTCAGACAGAGCTTGGCAGGTGTTGCGCTCCCCAGCAGTTTGCAGACTTTGACCTTCGGGCCAACATACAATGAGAGCTTAGCAGGTGTCACGTTTTCGAGTGGCTGAATTTGACCTTTGGTGAGGATTTCGACCAGAACTTGGAGGATACCGTCCTTCCCAGCAGCCTGGAGACTTTGACCTTCGGTTGGCGCTTCAACCAAAGCTTGGTGGATGTGGTGTTGCCCACGAGCCTGCACACCTTGATCTTTGGCAAGTTCTTCAACCAGAGCCTAGAGGGTGTCACTCTACCCGGCAGCCTGAAGACTTTGAGCTTTGGAGACCTTGGCCAAGGCCTGGATGGTGTCACGCTTCCAATCTACAGACCTTGACCTTCAGCTTTCTACTTGACAAGGGTTTGAAGGGTATCACGCTGCCAAGCAGCCTGCAGTCTTTGAACATTGCAGAGTGTTTCCGCTTAGAAGGCACCGAGCTGCCAAGCAGCTTGAACCACATGCGTTTCAACCATTTGGAGGTGTCCATTCATGGACCGTTGTGAATCCGTGAAGGTTCACGAGATCTCAGCGTGGACGCTATGCATGTGTCGCTGTGCGCTCATCGTGGCGAAGAGCTCCGCTGAAGAAAGGGGGACTCGGACCGATCGCATTTCGATCGCGCGCCGCGCGTGGCTCGTGGTGTGCACCGTGAATCAATTTGCGGTTCGGAACAGTGAAACTGTGAGACCTGGCCGAGCCTTCTGCTGCCATTGTGAGACGAGCCGAGCAGTTGTATGTGCCTGTATGTGTGTGAGTGTGTGTGCAAGCTACCGGGTTGTTAGATGTTTGTAGAATTTGGATGCGATCAGTCTCTTCACTGCAACGTGTCACAAGGTGCCAAATTTGCTTCCAAACCGCACTCTTTTCTAGCCATCGCCAAGAATACTTGTTCACTTTCCACTACTTCTTCTCTCATTTCTAGAGAATTAATTCACTCTCTGACAAGTAAACACTTAAAACCATGACCACATCCCACGCCTGTTGTCACCTGACCATGAACTGTTTGAGATGGCTTCTGGCACTGTTCCTGGCAGGCTCGATCGGAACCAGTCACGAAAACGTCGTCTGGGTATTCTAACTAGCGACTCTCGAAGAGATGCCTTTGTACGACAACGTGCTTCTTTAGAGGAAAGGTGGCATGGACCCTCTTTCAATGGCACTATTTAGTGTAGGTTGGAGTGTTGGAGGCCATCGCAAGTAGGTTGGAGGCCATCCCTCCATCCATGGCCTGGAGACATTTTCTCTTTCTTTCTCTTCGCCGCCGCGCTCCAGGCGCTCGCACAGGAGCCGCACAGGAGCCACAAGAGAAGCGCTCTGCCGTTCAGAGAGTGTTCTTTGGTCAAGACATGCTGAATTGAAGTACTTGCCATTCCAACGCCTACTTTCCAAAGTCCCACAAGGCTTTGTGTGGCATCCCAGAATCCAGGCACAC